TCGCGAGCCGCAGTTTTCCGACCACTGACCTAAGGGAATGTTGCTGTATAATTCATTTCCCTCTCCAGGCATGTTAACTGCAAAAGTCCTTTCAGCACAGTGTGGCCTCTTCGCAAAAAGCAATGTGTCCCATTCGGAAAGGTATCTTCTGTTTAAAGGCAAGGCACCGGAGATACTCTTGGGGCGTTATCTGCTACAGAGTGAGGAGGGCCCACTTATTGTGAAATTGGACCCTCTGGACGCAATTCGGGAATTCCTCCCAGGCGCTCGGTGCTCCTGGCATCAGAGCGGGAGATGACTGTGGGTTTGATGTGAGATTATTTGCCACACGGGACGATGGAGGAACAAGTACCTTCAGCTCCGTTTAAGCACATTAAACATCCTGGCCGTGCAGACCCCAAGCAGCCGAGGGCAAGTCAACTGCTCTAGACACGCCCCGACCTCCACGCCAGGTCTTGTAGCAATTTGGTCTGACAGCTCCTTGCAAGGAGCCCGTGGGCACAGGGAAGACGGTTGCTTGTCAGGCTACTTCTGTGCTTGGACTGGGAGAACTGTGAAGTGTCCAGAAGCCCCTGGGAGATCTTTCTGCCCATCTGCCTTTTAGTTTGACGGATGTGTCAGTCCGGACAGCTGGGTCACCTAATGAATAGAAATTTAATTTCCACACAGGGATCAAATATCTTAGTGTTTCCCCTGCCACATCAAACTCCCCTGACAGAGCCAAGAGGAAAATGCAAGTCATCCAAGGAGTTGCTGATAGGTAAACGGAGTCTTTTACTTACTTTTTAAAAAGACTCTAAAGTTACTTAATTGGATGCAGTGCAACACCGTATGGGGCAGATGATCGCCCAGGCTCAGACGTGAGAGATTTTAATGATCAGAACCCTGGAGCCCTTGTGATATGTGTTAACTCTGAAACCTGAGACAAAGGCTACTTCGTTTTGGGTCATCTCAGTGGACAAATATTTGTTAAGAACCTGTGCACTTTGGGAGGGGCTGGGAGCATCCACAGGCCACGAAGACCTGCCTTCAGTGAGTTGTACTCAGCTGAGGGGGTGAGAGAAATACACACGTAACAGGTAAATAACCAGTGACTATTTATGTCTCAAATTGTTCATATGCTACAAAATCCAAAATAGTCGTTTATAACTAGGGAACATATAAGGACCGGAGAAGTCAGAGGCTGTTTGGGAGTAGGCTTTTAGAAAGATTGAAAGAGCACAGGACAAAGGTTAATGCCAGCAGGACTGAGAATTGCTGTCAGGTGGGAGCACATATAGCCCACGTGGCATTAACTGAGCACCTACTATCTGCCAGGCACTGGGACTGCAGGGAGTTGGGGTAGATTAATGACTAACCGAGTACAGTCCCTGCCGTCCAAGGAGCTGTGAGTGTCATAGGGTCATTTAAGTTGATGGTTAGAGCTGTAGAATGCAGGGCTCCTGACACGGCCCACGAGCTTTGGGAATCACGGCCTGGAATGGTGATAGCTTTGGAAACCGGTCTCATGCAGGATGGATGGCCTCAGATCGCAGAGTTAAGCTGTGACCATTCTAGCAGAAAAATTCCAGCACACTCCTGGCCCAGGGTGGTCATTCAATGCCCGAAGCCAGCCCGCTGGAAACCAATCCCTAAGGTCTCGGCTCAGAATGCGCCGGTGTGTGGTAGCTCAAATACAGCGGGTTCCCAGGCTCTCCTGTCAGCTGGCACTGAAGCCTGGGGGGTGGCGGGGAGTGTGGGCTCAGGTTTAAAATACTTCGGCGTCCCCAGCCAGCAGCTGAAACCTGAGAGAATAAAGTGGTAGTGTTGTGGAGGGCTGGGCCCGGCTGTCCTCCTAGGAAGGTTCCAGCCATAGAACAGAAAGATTTATTTTCAGAGGAAATCTGATGAAAGCCAATGTACTGAAGGAAACATATTTTTTATTTATTTTATAATTCCTGTTAGGAACAAACATTCTATTTGACTTTTTAAAATAGGACAATAATGAGCATGACCCTGTGTCCAAACACAAAATATTGTTTAGAGTGTGAGTCTGCTTTATTTGTTTCTGGGCTTCTATGAGATATTGGTGGTAAAATATCAGTTGACTAAAACCATTTGAAAAAAAAAATTGTATGTCTACTCTGCCTTCAATGCATGCGTGTTACTCCTATTAAAGAGCTAAAAGCTGTGGAACTGGTATACTTAGTGAGTGATCTGTCATAGCCAGCGAGCGATTCGCTGTTACCAAGTGGCAGTAATAGAAAAAGAACGTGCGAGTGTGGGCTTAGCTGCATTGGCCGTGAAGGCCCTGCTAAGCCAGTGGGCCCTGGAAGCGGGCTCGCGGTGGGCTTTTGCCCTTGTCAGTTGAGCATCACTGGCCTTGCTCTTCGGAAGGTGGTACCGTGCCTGGCTTCTGCCTGGATCTGGGCTGTGGCAGGAAGCTCTGGACTGCCCAGACCCCCGGGGAACACTTGGCTGTATGATAAGCGTGGCCAAAGCTCTGAGCAAGGCCAGGTCGGTAAACATTGGCGGGCCTTGATGGGCCCCTGGGTGATGATTTAGCCTAAGCACCTTCATACCTTTGTATGCTACCCCAGGAAGGTCTGACATGATGTCAGTGTTTTGTAGCTTTCCCAGTAAGGGTGCTGCACAGTGCCTGTGACAGAGTGAATGCCGGAGATGGCTTAAAACTAGCCCTGGGCCACCGAAGCTCAAGTTTAGCAGAATGTAACCAAATCCGCGCGTGGTGGGTGCTGAGGTCTCTGTGCCATCTTCTTTCTGTGGATTAGGCCACATCGGCCTCCCTAGGGGCATTCGTCTGTGATCAGCCCTTCATGCACATTAGCAGGGAGTCCTGAGGAAGGGCGGGGCCAGAAGTGGGGGTTCAGGGGCACAGAGGAGAGGGGAGGGGTGGTCACTGTGGTGTAAATCTGAAGAGTAAGGCAATAAGCACATCCCTCATTTCCTCACCATCCTGAATCCCTTCTCTTTCCTTTCTCAGAGGGCAGAGCTGACGTCTGATAAAGACATGTACCTGGACAACAGCTCCATTGAAGACGCTTCCGGAGTGTATCCTATTGATGACGATGACTATGCTTCTGCATCAGGCTCGGGTAAGGCCGGGGACGTCACGCTCGCCTCCGTTCTCCATGCTTGCACGTGTGCATGCACACATGCACCCACAGTGTCCTGGCTTAGACAGGGAGACAGGCAGGGTGCACAGGGGTTAAGAGCATGCTCTTTGTGTCCAAGTGCCTGGCTGTGAATTCGAGCTCCCCGTCACCTACGCTCTGAGATCTTGGGAGTGTATTTAACTTGGCTGGACCTCAGTTTCCTCATGTATAGAATGGGAGGTCCCTACCGCATAGGCTGGCTGTGAGGATTAAAGGGGTTGGCACATCTAAGAGCTCTTAAGAGTGTGCTACTTGGCATGGAGTCAGTGTTCTGTCAACATTAGCTTTTAATTTTATTACTCAAGGTTTGAGAGTGACGTCATGAAAACCACTCCTTCAAAACAAATCCTTCAAACACTAGTTTTTATAAAACTGCCAACCCTATGTTGAAGATTATGGATGACACCAAGGAGAGTTATATTTAGTTACTCCTAGGGTATTGCTCAAAAGTAGAAGGGAGAACGTAGCAGGGATAGCCTCAACTCCCGGGTGTATCAGTTATCTGTTGCCTCAGTGATGCCGTGTAATAAACCATCCCCAAATGTTGAAGATAAAAACCACAGTCACTTATTTAGCTTATTGTTCTATGGGTTGGCAGTTTACACTGGGCTAAACGGGCTCCTGCACATGTCAGTGGTCAGCTGCGGGTTGGGAATGCAGCTTTGCTGACCTTGGCTGGACTTTGTCATATCTCTGGAGCAGCTGGGCAGACTTGGCTCTGGTCCACACGGCCTCTCATCCTCTGGTAGGCCAGCCATTTGTTCACAGGGTGGAGGCAGAGATCCCAAGAGAGCAGAACTGTGCAAAGCCTCTTAAAGCCTCAGCTTAGAACTGGTACAGCATCCCTACCACCTTTTATCGGTCAAAGCAAGGCTAGCCCTTACTCCGCCTCTTAACAAAAGAGCTACAAAGTGACACTGCAGAGGACGTGGAACAAGGAGGAATGAGCGATTCTGGCCATTTCCGCCATCTACGGTACATAGTACATGTTTCACCTGTGCCAGGAATGGCCCCTAAGAAGCTGAAAAGAGGAAGAGCTTGTGCATATATTTAATTAAATGATCAGGTTAGGAATTTGTGGTCAGCAACACGCTAGGAAAGTCTTATTCAGGACCTTTCTTGCTTTAAATTTCCATTGTAAATTCAACAGATGGTAAAAGTTAGGCTGAATATAGTTGTCTGATTAATCAGATTGGCCTGGCTTCAGAGTGACCCAGAATAAATTCAGATCTACGGGATCTTTGGTAGAGATCTGGCTACAGAAGAGTGAGTGTTTTAAGTTAGCAAACGGCAAGTCTGAAAGAGACAAGTGAGGTTGTGGTTGACCTAGTAACAGTGAGCTTACAGTGCAGTCCTAATGTAAAAATAGCCCCAGTTATTCTCGGGAGAGTGATATATATTGCACGCACAGATTGAGTGTGAAAAGAGTGCTTCTCCATAGCCCACAACTCTATTAATATATTTCGCTCATGGCACCTCTTTTTCTCCTTTGGCACCTGAACAGCGCTTCGTAACTAACTGTCATCTTCAAAATGTCCCAGGACATAATAAACGTGGATACTTGTTTACCTGCATTTCACAGAACCTAGAATCCAAGAGTTGGTAGAGATCTGTAGCTGTTGTCCAAGTCATTTTGCTGATTTCTGCTGGTTGTCTTTAAGTTTCATATCTACGCAGTCCTGTTCCTCTGCTAACCCCCGTCTCCCCATCAGGGTGAAAGGGGTTTGGAGTGAGTCATCTGAAGTCCTGAGCCCAGTAATCAGGTGGCTCAAGTAGAGGCTTAGATGTGGGCTGGCATTACTCTGCCCTGGCCCAGCCTGGGGCAGATGATTGCTGCAAAGAAGTTCATCATTCAGACCAGACGTGGAGGGAAACTTCAGTCAATAGTTACACAGATAAATGTGTAATTACAAACCGTGATAAATGCAATTAGGGTAAGAGAGGTGGTACCAAAAATTAACTTAACAGAAGACTCTGAGGTCTTTCCCGAGGAATGGCTTTTGTGCTGAGGTCCAGAGGTGAGTTAGGAATCAACGAGGCTTGCTTTCTGGCAGAACAGGAGGGACCACATGGGACAGGCAATAGGGAAGATGTCACGGAAGCTGGAAAGGTAGGCAAGGCTGGGCTTGAGGCATTTAATGTTCATCTCAAGAGCAGTGGGGAGCCATTGTAATCGTTTTTTAAAAAAATATATATTTTTTGGATTTCAGAGAGGAAGGGAGAGGGAGAGAAGAAAGAGAGAGGTAGAAACATCAGTGATGAGAGAGAAGCATTGATCGGCTGCCTCCTGCACACCCCACACTGGGGATTGCGCCCACAACCGGGGCGTGTGCCCTGACCGGGAATCGAACTGTGACCTCCTGGTTCATAGGTCAATGTTCAACTCAGCCACTGAGCCACACTGGCTGGACCCATGTTAATAGTTTAAAGCGGGATGAGGATGGGGTCATAGCTGGTGTGTGTATAGTGGACTGAAAGGGGGCTATTAGGAAGAAGGCAGGTATGATGGTTCCTGGAAAGATGACCGTGGCTTGGATGAGTGTGGTTGCCCTGGGACTGTAGAAAGGTGTTAGGGTGAAGAGATATAAGAAGGTAAAATCAGTAGAACTGGGTGATTGGCTCGATGGGGTGGGAGGAAGAGGAAGTCAGAGTTGTGGTTTATAGGAGTGGAGGGTTCAATTCATTGCAAGGTGTTCACCAGGTTTGTGGGGCGAGAGGGAGGGAGGTGATGATTTCTGTTTTGGATGTTTTAGAGGTGTATAGTACAGTTGAGTCATTCAGTAAAATGTCAAGTAGGCCTGTGGATATGTAAGTCTGAATTTCAGAGAAGTGATATAAGCTAATATATAAACTTGGGTTTCTTTTATATTTGGTTGGTAATTGAAGCCATGAGCATGGATGAGATAAAAAGTGCAGAGTAAGAAACCTAGGGCCACCCAGCCAGTGTGGCTAAGTGATTGAGCGTTGGCCTATGAACCAGGAGGTCACAGTTTGATTCCCAGTCAGGGCACTTGCCTGGGTGTGGGCTTGATCCCTAGTGTGGGGTATGCAGGAGGCAGCCGATTATTGATTCTCTCTCATCATTGATGTTTCTACCTCTCTCCCCCTCTCCCTTCCTCCCTGAAATCAATATATATATTTATATATTTTTTTTAAAGAAGCCTAGGGCCGAATCCTAAGGAAGTGTTGATATTTTGTGTTTACATAGAAGAGAATGAATCTGCAAAGGAGACAAGTAGCCAAGAGGTGAGGGGGAAGCCAGGAAGTCAAAGTCATCCCAAAGATAAAAGTTTCAAGAAGGAGATGATGGTCGACAAGTGTGCAGTGATGCTAGGAGATTTGATCAGATGAGAACCACTATGGACAATGCCACTGGGTCTTGAAACATGGTAGACCTTGGTGATCTTAACAAAACAGGACCATAATGTGTGTGATGACAGGAAACATCTACAACTAGAGGGAGGGGAGCAGAGGATGAGGAAGTGAGCCCGTGAGTGGCCACAGCACCAGTGGAAAAGTCTGGCCGAGCCAAGGGGACGACCCAGGGCAGCAGCTCTCTCAGAGAGGGATCAGCCATGGGAGAGTTCTCCTTTTTTGGCTATTGTTTTAAAGTAGAAACTAGAGCATGTGGAAGGGAAGACATCTCATTGAGCAGGAAAGATCAGTCATTACAAGTAAAAGAAGGGCTACTGGAGAATGTTCAGGATAATATTCTTTATTAAAAAAATATATTTTACTGGTTTTTTTACAGAGAGGAAGGGAAAGGGATAGAGAGTTAGAAACATCGATGAGAGAAACATTGATCAGCTGCCTCCTGCACATCCCCTACTGGGGATGTGCCTGCAACCAAGGTACATGCCCTTGACCAGAATCAAACCTGGTCTATCCACTGAGCCAAATGAGTTAGGGCATCAGGATAATATTCTTTTTAAAACTTGCCAGGCTACCCACAGATCCACTTTGAAATCACTCCTTCATCCCAGTGCACACAGCCGAGTTCTTGCCGAGCAGCTGTTTTGAAGGAACATGGCGCTGCGGGTGTCAGCTTTGACAGGATCGTCCGATGATGTGGAAACCTGCATCGTGATTCATGTACTCGGCTCCTCTTTGCTTCTTCCCCCAGGAACGGATGAGGACGTGGAGAGTCCCGAGCTGACAACATCCCGACCGCTTGCAAAAATACCGTCCACTAGTGCTGCTCCCAAAGTGGAAACCACGACGGTGAAGATGCAGAACAAGATGCCTGCTCAGACGAAGGTGGGCTTTGTTTTGCGTGGCGTTGTTGGGTTACTGTAAACGCTCCTTCATTTAATGATACAGACCAGTTCTTTGAAGGGGCCCTGTTTTAAAATAGGTGAGGACAAATGGTCTTTTGTTACATGGTTGTAAATGGCTCTGACTCACCCTTTCTGATGGTTTTGACTTTTACTTGCCGACTGCTTTGTGTGTTAAGTAGACTTTGTTTTTATTTATTTTTTTTAACATATTTTCATTGATTTCCGAGAGGAAGGGAGAGGGAGAGAGAGAGAGAAACATCAGTGATGAGAGAGAATAGCTGATGGGCTGCCTCCTACTGGGGATCAAGCCCGAAACCCAGGCATGTTCCCTGATCAGGAATGGAACCATGACCTCCTGGTTCATAGGTTGATGCTCAACCACTGAGACACACTGGCCAGGCAGGCTGTGTGTTTTCAAGCAGTTTTAGATTACAGCAAAGTTGAGTGGGAAGCACCAAGAGTTCCTTTTACCATCTGGCCCCACCTACACACAGCCTCCCGACTTTCAACAACCTCCACCAGAAGGTAAGTTGACACGTCATTGTCACCCAAAGTCCATACTTCACATTCTTTGAGTTGTCATTCTTTGGATTCTGATAGATGCATAATGACATGTATCCACCACTGTAGGGCCATACAGCACAGCTTTACGGTCCTAAAACTCCTCTTTGTGCTGCCTGTTCTCCCCCCACCAAACCCTGGCAACCACTGATCTTTTCACTGTCTCCATCGTTTTGCCTTTTCCAGAATGTCATAAAGTTGGAATCATACACTATGTAGCCTTTTCAGAATGTCTTCTTTCAAGATATGTGTTTAAGGTTCCTTCACCTCTTCATAGCTTGATAACTCATTCTACTTACCTTACTTTTAGCTTATATATGAATATTTTAAAATATATTTTTATCGATTTCAGAGAGGAAGGGGGAGGGAAGGAGAGAGAGAAACATCAGTGATGACAGAGAATCACTGATTGACCGCCTCCTGCATGCCCCCTACTGGGGATAGTCCTGCAACCCAAGCATGTGCCCTGACAGGGGAATCAAACTGTATCCTCCTGGTTCATAGGTCGATGCTCAACCTCTGAGCCACACTGGCTGGGCTACATAAATATTTTTTAAAGGATGGTCCTTTTAAAGGAACTCACAGTCAAATTAAGAAACAAAATCATTTTTATTTATTTGGCTCAAGCCAAGAAAATTTATTTTCATTCCATAAAGAATTTGTTCTGAGTTAAAACCATTGGGAAACTTACATGTGCTGAAACAGGTTATGAAATAAGGAGACTCCAGATACTAATTGCAGTAAGTTTTTTCTCAGTCTCCACCAGCCCATCACCAATGGTATATAAACTTTGACCTGAGAGTGTTCTTCATTGGTAAAACAAACAAACAAACAACAACAAAAAACACCTCGAGGTCCAGAAAAGTGGTGTGACCTAGGGTCACACAGGAGCTGCTTGCAGCACCCAGGTACCCTGAGGCCCTAGCTCAGGGCTCCCAGCTGCAGGA